CCATCCAAAATCCATACACCTAATTTTGGGGTGTCTGAATAAGCAAAAATAAAACTTTAGAATATTTGATGTGATAATTGGCAGTTATTTTTACCGTCTGTATCATCGTCTCTAACATCAATATAATGATATTCTAATCCAGCACCTCTTTTTGGATCATCATTACCCTGTAATTTTGCTACTAATGTTGTCCTACCACTTTCATTATCGCCCAAAACAATTATCGATTTTGTAGCTGGTGCTTTTTTAGTAGATGATTTTACGTCACGTAAAATGGATGCCCTAGAAAATGATCAATAAAAGATATAAATATATTAAAGATTTTCGTTATTTTTAAAAAATTATTAATTTTAATTTGAAAAGAACTACTCAAATATTTATATAGTAGAAAGAAAAAAGCATTTTTAAATCATAAAGGAACTATAGTTACCACTTCAGAGTCCTCCTTATCCTCTACTAAAGATTGACCAACAGAAATAATAAAATTACCAATGTATCATAATTATCCATGAAGAAAAAGAATGGAAAAAAGTAAACAGTGGAGGTAGTGGCTGTTGATACTGTTTAATAGAAAGAATGATGTCACCTTCGCAAAAGTCCAGCAGTAGTCGATGATGCTTATTAGAATCTTACCAAATGCTTTGTTTTTCATCATTTGGATCTAATAAATCTTCTTGTTGCTCTAATGTTGAATTTTGAGTATTAATCAACGTTTGTTTTGTCATGTTCTTTTAAAAAACCCAAATGGATTTTTCGCAAAAATAAATAAATAAAATAAAATAAAATAAAAAACAATTGTCGTTGGTCGGTACTACTCTTATTTCTCGCCGAAATTGGCTCTAAGGAAACAAACTATTTTTTTATTCACAATAAAAAAATGTTATTCATCAAAAGAAAATCTGTTACCACAATCACATCACATCGTTGTTTTGAACTCTCATTTATCAATGTAAACACCTGTAAGCGTTGTGGATGGTTACATTCTTGTGAGTGAACCTCGACACATTGAAGATAATAATGGAGAATATTGATCTGAACTTCAGTATATTTGATTGGACAAAGCAGATAACCAATGACTTTTTTCTAACAGAATTAAACTATTTTTCTGTTATATTCTTATTATTATTGCTGATGCTGTTATTACTATTTTTGTTTGTTTGAAATTTCTATTTTTGCATCTCTACATGGTCGTATGCTCCGCGTCTATACCATAAAAAAACATTATAGCTTAAAGCTTTGTTCGCGCGGCATATTCAAACTTCATTTTATTAGAGTCCTGCAGGCTTAACCCGATCCGAGGGATCGGAATCCCGAAACGTTTTTGTTCAGGTTCGGGATGGGTTTGAGTTCATCGGGATCGGGTTTCTTCTTCAAAGGTTGCATTATTTTTTTTATTCAAAAGACAAAAATAATAAAGAGATAATATTTCTGAACCTGCTAAACGTTTATCACAATAGTAATAGAAAAAAAAATTTCCTTAATTCTTTTGGTTTTCACTGTCATTAAAACTACTACCACTTTGATTGCGTTTCTTCTTCTTGGCTGTGAAAGAAGCAGAACCTCTACGAGTAAAGATTTACTAATGCAGAAATAAAAGAGGGGACTTCACTAAAAGAAATTTTCGGATCGAGAGGATTTGGGGCGGGTTTTAGTTTAAAAAAATCGGAATTCCGAAAAAATTTGTGCGGTTTCGGGATCAAAAATGCCAGACTCGCAGGATTCTACATTTTATCCCAATCTCGTACTGTATGAGCACAATCGATTAGTTAAATCAGTTTAAATAAACTCGACTTTTAGCCCTGTTTACACTACACATGATTTCAAAACGTTGAGCAGTGTAGACAAAGCTTTAGTACCCTTCCTGTACTTATATATCAAATGAAATAGCTGGATATTTATATGCACAAGAAATCCTTTCATTAATATTCTAAAGTAGCTTTTAAACTTCGATGGCAGAAGCGTAACAAGTAGGAATGAGTAACTCCCATCCTCCATCCTGGTTTCTGAGATCTTTTGTTTTTCCTCCAGCAAAATGCTTTTTTAAATATGAAACTAGTACTTTCCAAAGAGCCAAGAAAAATAATTATCTATTAATATACTCATTTTGAAAATAATCGCCAAAAAGTTATTTTATCCTCATCCTACTCTGAAGGTCGAGATACGCTGGTGACTAACTGAAGCCTTGATTTGACATAAGTGGAGCGTGAACTTAAGTTAAGCGTTAACTTAATACATCATCCGAGTTGCATTAAACTAAGGCCGTAAAAACGGCGTACTAAAACAAAGTCAACGTTGAGTTAAGTCTGTGGATCATGAGCTTAACAATATCGGTGAAACGACTTCCTCAAGATAATTCTTGGTCATTTATTTTTGATCCACCTCATTCACGATGTGAACGATGTTGTTTCAGAACTCAGTTTGATAAACGACCATTGGTAACTATGACAACTTTTTTAACGAACAACAACGGTTTTGAGTTTTGTATCTTCGTGACTGAACGGAAGATTGAACAGGGAACAATCGACTTCATTTTAAAAACATAGACGCAGGTTAAAAAACCTCTTATAACGCTTATATTCAGTAGGTGATTTATATATGAAATTGCATGTCAAAATGATTTCAGGTGTGTATTATTTTTGTGTTTTGTGCCCAAAGGACCTACGTCTCTATTTGACAAAGGATCTTATTCTCGCTTGCACTGCATATTTTGTGCGAACGGTTCTTGTTCCTTCAAAAGAGAAGAATATTTTATAATTGGTCTTATTTTTCTCTGTAGATTAGCCATGCTAACAATATTCAACTGGCTATCCAAATTGAACTTGTTAAAAATATTTCGTTGTGTGTCTAATATAGATCTGATTGAAGACATGTACAATCTTAAGTAACAATTAAATTTACTGTCAGGTTGTTTTCAACTTCACGTTGATTTAGGAGCGAAATGTTCAAACAAGAGTTAGTTCTTATTATTACTATTTCATACCATACATTCTTGAAAAAACTTGATGTCTCCACAGTATCGATCGAATGAACATGAAAAGTAACAAACAATTTCCTTCCTATCATAGGTAATAATCGAGCACTTATAAACTTGCTTAACATTGGTTTAACATGGAAATAATCATGATATATTTTTACATCGAAACTGTCAAAAGTAATATTTTTTTCGTACAATTTGTGAAATAAATATCGAAAGTTGTAATTTGTCGAATGTGCTCATCTGATTATAATCCGTTGTTAAAGATATTTATCTCTTAAAACGATAAGCATTGACGTCATTTGAACAAATATGAATAACACAATCGATTGAATATTTGATAATTGAATACACTTTATCTTAATACATACTATTTGCATAAAAAAGCGAGGCAAGTATGTTTTTCAGTCATAATACCAGTATTGGACTTGATTGACTAGAAAAAAGTTAAACGAGTCGAAACATGGAAGTCGTTTTACCAGTACACAGTGGGCATTCAGGTGGAAATTTAGAAAAAACCAGTGATCTTGCTTTTTCGTAATTTAAATAGTGTTTCATATACTTCGAGTGACGGCCGATTAAATGATGAAAGAATTTTTTTTCTACGACTTTTCCTTCTATAAAAGATTTGAAATGCAAAAACACCATGTAAATGCGCTATTTTTTCGGAAAATTTCGATTTTTATTGAAGGATAGTAAATTAGAATAAAACCGAGATCATATTC